TAATTTTGCCCCAGAAATGTGCATATTTCGCCATTTGCATCGTAGTGCAGTTAGCGTTACATTTCACTCCTTGTGGGTAAGAATACCACCGTTTCTTTGGCGGGTTCAGCTTCTGCAAAAGCTGCTGAACTGTTTGTAAATGTTCCCCTCAGTGTAAAGGAAAGCTTTTATTTCCTAGCAGGGGCCGGCTGATTGGTCAACTTGTTGGTTCTTATTTGTTCATGGCACAAAGCTGTGACAGACACCAGTTCTTCTGCTTTGAACTAAATATGATGATTTGGCCTCTTTGGGTTGTGTTTTAAAAGCTAAAGTAGTCATGGACATTTGTCCCTTCACATCTGGATGAAATGAGGAGTCCACTGAGGAGTCCACGCGTTGTGTTTACATTGTTAAGTTTTGTATCTGCTATAAAGACAGGTTGTATGAAAGAAAAAGGACATAGTAGTTAAAAAGTTGAGCATTGACCAAATGGGGATTTTGACATGCCAAGATGGACTTAATCATAGTACGTTTTACTGCCGCAAAGAAACACAAAAAATATAATAAATTAAAAAACACTATCGGATGCATATTTGTGGTGTTTAGCGAGAGATAAGTAGAGTGTTTTGAGTCACATATAAACAATGTAACAGATAATTATTCGGGGAAAGTGTATTGGTTGTGGTGGGAGGCTGTTGAAATGATATCTTTGAACAGATGTTGTGTTACAGTGACTATGTCTGAAGACCATTGCCACATGCAAAACAGATTTCTTTAGCTACCTCACCATGTAATGTGTCTTTTGACAGTGTGCAGTAAAGTGACATAACACCAGAGTAATCAGCGGTACTTTGTCTAGAAGGGGGAAACACAAAGGCATGCCTCGGATTCCTTTCCTAAGCTCCTGGAAGTAAAACTGAAATGTTAACTCAATAATACGAGCAAGGCATTGTTAATTCATCAACTGACTTTGTTTTTGAACCTCTCTCTGGGCCGAGGTCTCCAACTGTTACCCAAGGCATGAGCTGTTGACACGCCGGTTAGGCTTCTATTCTCAAATTTGGTTTTTATAGTCCATGTCTGCAGCTGCCCCTCCGCTTCAAAAAGAGAGAATCAGGCTGTTGTTGAGGCGAGGGGTTTATCGTAGCTGCCCGACACTTTTTCCACTGGTGTAATGGAAAATGAGATAACCATTTGCCTCCAAGAAATTATTCTATTTCCAATGATAATCACTCTTTATCTTCTTGTTGGAAAACATTGCAGTTTGTAGATTTAATATGCTTTGTGTCAAGTACAGTTGGCTTAATTTAATTAAAGTCGTTACATCAAAGTATCTCCTTTAAGATGCTCTGTTTTACATCCATTATTCCAAGAAACTATGTCACTGACCAATGTCAACATGTTATTTGATAATCTTTAGAGGCAAATGTATTTTGTGCAGCACAGATTAAGGAGCTGGAAAGACACACATTATTTAACATGGACATAAAGACTAATATCCATGCAGTATAATGGTGAACATCTGTATCTCAGAGCTGGAGTCTCTGATGGACTCCTGTGTCTTCATTAAAAGTGTATCCTGTGGATGGAGCAGACCTTCTTGCACATCTGGCTCTCTTGGTTGATGAGAAGTGCAGTCCTGTAACTTTTCCAGGCAAGGACATGGCTTGTTTAATTTGCTTGGCAAGGACAAAACTGTGTCCAGGCAAAGTCCTACATATTCTTGCTTTATGGTGCAACCTCATTCCTGCTGTTCTCTGACTATGACTGACAAGGCTTTCCTGGGGAAGTGTGCTGGGTTTAGTCTAGCAGAGCACAGTGTGTTTGGAGATCATGTACATATGCACCCTTGAGTGCATGGCGTTTTATAAGTCATTATATACAGCAGTGTATGATAAGTTTCTTTTACAGTAAATTATATTCAAACAAAATAGTTTTTCTTAGAAAGTTGATTTTGGAACTTGAGAACGACCCATGAAAATATCTGATGAGGCTGCTAACAGTGCACATATAGGCTCTGTCATCACGTGCAGTATAACTCATTCATTGCTGGTATGTTTCCATTAGCCAGCCTAATGTGAAAATTAGGGGGATCAGTAGACCATAGAACATTTTTCATTCTGATCTTTATTTAACATCAAGTCCCATATACTATATTACATTTGTTAAATAACAGAAATGTTTAATGAAGAACATCTGGCAGCATCAGGAGTCTCATGTTCAGTATATGGTCTTGCTGGAGGCTATTGATAAACGCACGCCACATGCAGAGTTGATCTGAAATGGCGATAACGTGTATGTGTAGCCTATTTAATGTTATGATTTTCAGCATATAATATTAACAATATTTATTGTCCCAAACCCTATTGGGGCAGTCAAATCTTAAACTAACTGCTGGAACAAACGCTGCACATACATCCATCCTGAATTTGAGCTCATTATGTCCTTCGGTGCCACGGCACAAAGGAGCGTCTGCCTTGTGTTAGATTCTTTGTCTTTATTTTCCAAACGCCATGAATATCATCACTCACATTTTCCTACAGGAAGCTGTTCACAGATAAAAGACCTCTGTCTTTCCAGCTACAGAATAATTATAGTAACAAAAAGATGCTTTTGAGCTAAGAATAGTTGTTTTTCCGTTGATCTGAGCTGTTTGTGAGCTATTTTAACTTTGACATTTCACTATCTTTGACGCCAGTGGAAAAAAAAGGCTCTTGTAGTATACTGTGGAATAATCATGACTGCTTTTGATGTGAAGTAAAAATAGTATTTAAATTCATTGGATCCCCTTAAATAGGATGCGATTGGTAAAAACATTCAAGAATCAAGAAATAAATATATCATTTAAAGAGACCCTATAATGACTTTAGGAGTTTTCCCTTTCCTATAGTGTGTTACATGTATATAGCTTTGTGTGCATGTAAATGGTCTGCAAAGGCTAAAATCCCAAAGTTTATCCCCCCCTGCATGAAACGCCTCCATTGGACTGTTTTATTTACTTTTGTGACATGACATCACTATGTAACACTCGCGCTTCTATTGGATAGTGATCCACAAATTGTAAGTGATAGGCTAATGGGCGGTACATCTCTGAGCGGTTGACCAATCACGACAGAGCCGGCCAGCTAACCAATCAGAGCAGACTGGGCTCTGGTTTCAGACAGAGGGTGAAAAGAGGAGCTGCAGCACAGGCAGTATGAGAAAAATAGCTATTTTTTTAACATTAAAGTATCTAAACACGTCACACAAAATGCAAATATGGACCTGAAAATGTGCACAACGTCTTCTTAAAGTGGGACAAAATGTTGGCGAATCATGTCAGTAAACACCCAAGATCCAAATTAAGTTAATTCTATTTATAGAATATGTTTCTTAAATGATTTAGGAAAACATCATAAATCAAATATGGGCCCTTACGTGAGACATGAAGTGGGTGTACGAGGATGGATGGTGGTAGATTTGCATCAAATGTGAAGTAGTTCAATGTCAGATAGCAAAGAGATCCACTACAGGAAGTGAGAGCTGTCGCCTCTGACTCCCATCAGGAGAATTAGTGCCAAGTGACCAGAGATGGCAGGTCACACGCACGCACGCACGCACGCACGCACGCACACACACACACACACACACACACACTCGTAAGGTACCGAACACTACTAGGTTCCCATTGACAGACCTCTTTATTTTCTCTTTATATCTGCCAGGCTTACAAAGCTGTGTGCATGAGAAAACGTGTATATGTGGCTAATGTGGTGAGCTGAATTAGGATATTAATAATAGCGGTGACTTCAAAACACTGCAGAACATCACGATAGAGACTATTTCGTCACGGCTTAAGTGTGTGCTTTACCATTGTAAATGTCACACTGCCAATCCAAACCCAACTGTACCCCATGATCCATCTCAGCTGTCGTCTTAAACTAACAAAGAAAAAAAGAACAATGCAGCATCATTAAGGTTTTTCATTTTTTCCAGACATGTCGCCTTTACTAGGTCAGGGAAGTAGGACAGTCTCCTCAAAAGAGGAAGACGGGGGCCGACTTTGCTGCAATACTTTTTAAATGTTTAATTGAAGTCATTACCTATGTATACTATTCTGTGCTTGTCAGGCTTTGTTAGTCTTCATTCTGTAGCCATCGCTGTAGTGGAGATGCACAGCTGTAATTTGTAGGACCACTCAGTTAAGCATATGCATGAAATTGTAAATGTTACACATGGAGGGAGTGGGTTTGTGTGTAATAGAGGGAGAGTGAGGGGGAGTGGGGGGGCATCTTGGACAGCCCCTGGTTGACCCTTGTTCACCCCTTCTCCCTCGCTCCTCCCTGCATGAGTCTTCTCCTAAACATGTGTGCAGCTGTCAGCTGGCAAGTGTGTAAGTGTGTGTGTGTGGGGGTGTGTGTGTGTGTGGGGGGGGTGTGTGTGTGTGTGTGTGTGTGTGTGGGCGTTTAGACAAAGATCATTGTCATATTTCAATTCGTTTTTCTTCTGAGGAAAATAAGTTGCACGAAGTGACTTGTGAACATATTTTTGTCTCACACATCAGATATAATATACACTGTTATAAAATATGAACATAGTAAGTAACTTGGTAGCAGATGAAAGTGCTACTATTTTATTACTGACTACATCTTCTTTTTGATGCTGTACTGACAACAAACAGGTTATTACATTTTCAATGTGTTATTAGATTTTTTTTATTTACCCCTTTATTAATGCATCGGTCTTTGGTTGCAAATGTAATTCATCAGCTTGGGCATGTTTGCTAAATATTGCTTCGGGTGTCTTTAGAGCAACAAATCTAGAGTGAAATTCAGCATGTTTATTAGTCTGAGGCAAGGTTGATGATGTCTCTAGTGACAACATCTGGCGGTCACATGAGAGAGTTATCTGCTCAGTCCGTAGAGACCATGATTGTCCTGCTTTTTCCCGCTGTTTCTCCTAAAATCAATGCACACAATCATCAAGAAAATGTGTGTTGATAGTGGTTAATAACAATGCCTTTTTCTTTGTCCCCTTTTTAGCTGCGGCTCCAAAGTTAAAACCGATGAAGAATCCAAAAATAGTGGACGAGGGAGGCAAGCTCATAGTTAAGTGTGCGGCCACAGGGAGCTCTCTCTCCTTCACATGGTTCAAAGATGGCAACGAGCTGAAGAAAAGCAAAAAACACAGAATAAGGAACACCCCGTGAGTATAAGTCATCCATGTCATGTAAACCTTACATACAGTGTAAGATGGAAATAGACCGAGGTACTCCTAAGGATGCTGTTATCAGGAGAATGTGCTTATTCCGTTTTTCATGAAACTGCCGTTTGAAACAAGTTTAAAAGCCTATATCAATAAAGAAGTGGAATAAAAGCATGTACTCAATGCTTTGGACTACAAACGTTTATTCAATCGATGAAATGTAGTATGATGATTTATGCAAATCTATTTTTCTTATTTTTTTATTTTAAACTTTATTCAACAAGAATAAGTGAGATAAAAAAAACTCAAATAAAAAGTTCCACTTTGAGGCAATTAAACATATACATTCACATATGTTACTACTGGTCACGTTCTGCCTGATAGGCACCGGCTAATGTTTGGCTTGACCGAGACATTGCCCTTTGTATTACTAACCTCAGAGAGATATTTTAACACTGCATTTTAGCATCTGACGGTTAAACATTTCACTTATTTAATTTAAGACAAGTGAAACCTGGCAAAACCCACAATACCATGTTTTTGTTCCATGGATGTTTTATCTCTCTTACCAGTTTCCTATATGTTTCGGCCAGCTGCACGACTCCTTTGCATAGTTACTCCGAGGCCAGTGAACATACATTGGAATTACCCCATAGAGATATATCAGTTTCTTTTAAAAACAAATGTAACAATTCATTACACAAATAGTCATAATTGACTTTGTTAGCAATTTGAGGTGTACTGGTAAAACCTTTGCAGAATACTGGGGAAAATGCTTTTTGGGCTCTTTCATGGGATATTTTTTAGTTGTAGCCAATTTGGCAACAGGGTTTACAAGCTCTGCCATATTCATCTCTCTTAATACATCCATGGTTCTCTCTTAGTCAAGTTGGCTAATAATGACTTAAATAAAGGCAGCTGACTTTGAAAAAGTATTGTAGTAAAACCTCCTATTGATGTATATTCACCTGAACTGTTAAACCAATAACCCCCTTTTATTAGAGAGTATGCCAGTAACACTCGGCCCTATGCTTTTTTAAAACTGTAATCAGTGTTTCCCCCCTCAAATTTGGCCCCAGAGTAAGTGATTATGTCTCCCTATCAAAGCAAAGAGCTGTTGCCATGCTGATGCTTGCCCTGTTGTCTGACACTGTCCCCCATGTTTCCACTTGTTGAGTTTCCTTGCTATTTCCTCCCTGCCCTGATTCCCCTGACTCAGCTTTGCAAGTGTTGTCTCACACAGGAGGAGCTCCAAAGTCCAGATCAACAGAGCAAAACTGGAGGATTCTGGGAATTACACGTGTGTGGTGGATAACTCGCTGGGAAAGGACAACTCCACCGGCACTGTTAACGTCCAAAGTAGTGAGTACTACAGTACCTAAGCAACACGTGAAGTGGCACAAGATGTACATTGTTGGTATGACTGCTCTCTTGATAGATGAAAGGGAGCCATTCCAAACAGGCATGTAACATTGGTAACATGCATGAAGAACAACTGTCCACACATGTGTCTGTGACCCATTCATCGGTGGAACAGTACATTGTACTTGGTGGGGAATGGAATTTAAATGTATGGTATGATCTCTCCGTGTTACATTGACTGCGGTCAGCTGTGAAATCCCATAAATCGAAATTGCACACAGCAATGCAGTATACAGTAAAACATAGCTTGACATAATATGAAAGTAGTAAACAAGAATCGTCTTTGCAGTGTGTGATGACATCTAACTGGCTCGTTCAGTAGTCGTGTGTGTACGTTTGTGAGTTTTGCAAAGTACTGTAGCAGATGAAAGAGTTTTGATAACAGCTGGGGTGGTGAGTTTGTGTTTGTTCCAAGCAGTGCGGGTGGGGAGTGTGTGGCTGCTGTTGGTAGCCAGTATAAAGAAATATGTAAATACTTATACAGTAAAGACATTTGCAGCTCAGATATAATTTATGTTGTTTTGCTTCTGCCTCTATCAAGGGATGACTTGATATTATCTGGTGGACGGAGAACTATGCGGCAGCTTGTCTTTCACACACCTGGATTTTCTATCTGAAGGACGCTAAATAATGTCTCTAGACTTTGATGCAGTGCAGACAAAGAGTTGTGATGTTGTTTTTTTAGCAAACTTAACATGGGTGATGACATATTTATGCTATTGCAAGTAAACCATGTCTTGACGAAATGTATATATTCACTACACTGTACATCATTGCTTTTGGAGAGTCGGAAAATAAGAAGTTAGTGAAAGTACTCAGTTCGTCTGTAAAAATATTTGCAGCTGGTTAATGTGAAGCTTATTTTTTTACTGCTGCGTAGCTTGTACATTTTACCAAGGTATCAATAAAGTTTATATTAACCTTTAATACTACATGAAACATTATTTGTAGAGCAACAGGGTTGGAAATGGAAATAATAAAGTACATAATGACAGTACTTGAGTAAATGTACTAAGTAACTTTCCACCACTGAAGATAAAGTGGTGCTTCTGGAGGTTTCTCATAAACACTATTCTCATCGCTGACCTTGACAACGGGATGATTTTTGTAGAATCCCACACTGGCAGGAGAGGTGTAGCTGGAAAAAGAAAAAGAGAAGCGGGACTGGAGTTGAGCCATCACTCACTCGTCCTTGTATTCACATTCAGGCTAAATAATGACTCCCCCTTCTTTCTCTATATTTGTCAAGGCCACCTTTTGTTTACAGTAAGCAGACTTAAGCTGAGATGCATCATTAGACTAGCAGCTATTCTTTTAGAAGAAAGGGCCCATTGTGTTTGACTCTCAGTGTTTCCAATATACTCGTTTGATTTCCAGCAAACAATTGAGCACAAGTCATCCATCTTGTATTTAAATGGGGCTTCACATCGCCTCATTTTTAAAAAATGCGTCCAAAAAGTTTCTGTTGAGTTTTACAGCCGGATCGTGTGACTTACTGTACGCTTATTATGACTCTTGGCTTCATTCCAGAGCAATGATAGATTTCTTTTTATCCATGTAATTTATTAAAAGGTCATTGACGCAAGACTCAAAGCCCCACTGCCAACATTTATATACAAATTAAATGGTAATCATCATCTCACATTTAATTAAATATATATCAGGTTAAACTGTACATCCTGCAGAGGTCGGGGGAATCCCTGGTGGTAGCACCTGTTTGCACGAGTGTTTAATGAAGGCTCATGAACATGTGACCACTGGCCTGTGAAACTCTATATGATGATCCTAGCAGGCAAAAAAGCTTGTAATGCCAAAATATCAAAGAAAATATAATATTACAAAGGAGTGAACATGTGGGCTGAGACTTACAGTAGCCACAATGGATAAAACCGGACTGAGCAATGTTATAGTACATCACACACTGTTTTAACACATGATATCACTACGTCCGCTGCAAAAGGTGGTTAAACCAGTTGCTAATAGTCAAAGATTTGTTTAACAGTGTACATTTGTGCACCACATTTGTGCACATTTTTGTGTGTGTTCTTCGAGTGTATGTCTGTCAACAGTGACGTTTCTTTACATCACTCCTGGATATCCACACAATGGCATCACTGTGTGTCCTATCAAGTGCAGTGATCATCGCATGTCTGTCTCGGAGGTGTTTTCTTGTGTTTTTGTGTATGTGCGAATGTTCACTGTTAAATAAAAAAAAGTCCCATTGTGTTCGAACAGCACGCCTAGTTCCGTCATGCTTCAGGGGAGAAGGCAAGACGGGGCGAATCAGGGGTGGTATGTCCATAGGCAGGGGGGGGGCTTCGCTGAAACTACATATGCCAATAAAAGGGAAGTGGCAGCAAACAGTGCCTGTTGCTGTGATTGTCATAGGTTGATGAAATGCTTAAAATGTGCTGATTTTGGGTGACAATAAAGGGCTCTGTCTGCCATGACACAGGTTGTATTTGAAAAGGTTTGAGCCAAATGTGTCTTTTTGCTTGATATTGATGCATAAGACACATATTTTCTTTTAAGACCAAGGGCTGCTTGTCATCCTAAGGTCATAAGAGAAATGGCTATTGTGTTAAAGGGCTGCAGTGGAGTACGCTTGCCTGCTGCAGTATGTTGCCGAAGCAGCATGTAGCCGCAGTATTATCTGTGTATGTGTGCCTTCTAGGGAGGGAGAGCAAGGGGAGGGGTGCAGATGTAGATGGACAGAGGGAGGAAAAAAGAAGAGGAGAGCGTGAATAAAGCAGGGGGGTTGGATACAAAATTAGGGAATGCATGACAGGAAGCAGACAAAGACATTAGGGTAGCGAACGAGAGGGGGATACAGCGAGAGAAAAAGAGGCAGACACTGAGAAAGGGAGAGAAAAGTATGAGGAAGAGGAAGAGAAAAGCCCGCTGTGTTGCAGAGGAGACTTTCACACCCATTTTAAAATGCTGTTGTCCGAGACACCTACTGTATCTGATGTCTACAGTCAGGTGTAGAGCCAAGCATGCTAACACCACTTGGACCGGCTTCATCAAAGTCTCTGAGGAAAATGCAATCATTAGAGATTCTGTCTTTTGCATACCGCCTTGCGCAGACAGAAAAGTGATCGTAGTGATCGTAGATGATAAAGTCGAAGAAGGAGCATCATTCCTTCCCTCGCAGTGCCTGCTGTCTGTTCTGGTGGAGGCAGATTTGGGAGACCATCACTCAGCTCCACCACATGGTGAATACAGGCCACCACAAGCTCAGCAGACTCCTCACTGCGATTGGACACACTGTGTTTGTGTGAGGTGAAGGGTGAAAGTAGCTCTTAATTGTTTTAATTATTTGTTTATTGTCTCCCCCCCTTAATTAGGGAGCCTTTCCCTTTTTTGGAAGTCGGGACATTTCCGCTATTCCAAACACAGCTTCATATTTAACCAACAAGTTTGAACATAGTAGTTTAGAAGTTGATGTGTAAAGCTGCAATTAGAAATTACAGTGCCAAAAAAAACTGATGCGTAGCCCTGAGTTAAATACCTTAAACAAAAAGTGATGCATCTACTGTACTTAAAGCTAAAGGAGTATGTAGAGGGGAAGCCTGCCACTTATCATAAACAGCAAAAACATATAAGCCCTCATTATTGATACTACAACTGGTCATTACTCAGTCCAAGCCAACCCATATCAATATCAGGCAAATGCGACACCTTTGTTTTTCTGAGCCGAGACGTTGACGTGGAGATTTGCCTAGAGCAGGAAAAAATACCCACCGTGTTTAAGGCTGAACCTAAACTGAACCCCTTATGCATTTTAAAGCACGCAGTACATTTTGGCTTCGCGCCAGCCATGCAGTTCGCCAATAACGTTGAATGATTGGGCCTGTTTGGGGATTTTACCCATGTCTTTCTGTTTGACCGGCAGAACAGAAATGCACACTGTCAGCCGATCGAGTGCCAGTTACTGAGCAATTATTCAGCACAGATGGTTGGATGTTCTGCTGAGCTGGAACGCCTAAGTTGCTTGTTTTCAATGTTTCAAGATTCATGTTAATACTCTCACGTTCTCTGAGGCTGCACTTTTGAAACCTGATATCAATCAGTGGATCCATTTTTACATTCTTCTCTGAATCCCCAGGACTTTTCTCCCCATTGTATTGTTTGTTTTTTGCCAACTCCGGCATTGTGACACAATTCACAAGATCATGGTGGTCTGGAATATCACATACCCTCTTAGCCATTTCTGTAACAATTGCTGCCTTTTCCTGAGTGGTGTTTCCAGCCCTGTACCCAACCCCCAGTGAAGAGGACTAGGGACCATTTGTTGTCCATTTGGTCTGACCTCTACCCCGTAATCAGTCTGGCATGGTAAGACCTACTGGCCTTCTGCAGAACGGTGTAGTATATCATCAACTGTTTTCTATAAGGCCAGTGTGAAGGAGCAACACTAGTCAAAGTTTGCTTGGCTCCACGTGGCTTCAGATTAAGGCCTCCCATTATCCTGCAGGCTGCTGTGTTGTGATAAGCGCTTGCGAGGCAGCCATGTGTCTGCAGGCTGCAGGTCACATCCTTGGGGGGTGCTGTGCGCAGCTCCACTGAGGGAGTGTGTGAGCGTCCAGGAATGTGTTGATGGAAATCACAGCTGAACATATGATTGCTCCAACCTCAGCAGTCATGCTGGGGCCCACCAGCAACAATTTCGCGCATGCATGCACGCAAGGCCCACACACACATGTACATACATACAGATGTGCACATACACCTTTACATGTTTTACCCCCTATCCTGAAGCCAAAACACCCCCTCCTCTGTCACAAACTAGTGCTTAACTAACTTAAAATGACACTTTTCACAGCAGTGGACAAAACGACAGCATCTCAGCAACGTCCTGGTGTGCTGAAAACGTGAGACTTTACAAGGTGTTGCATCTCACTCTCACACACCATGGTTGGATTTTTGCTTCACATTCC